CGTGGAAAAGAGATCTCCACGGGGTCTTGCTCTGACCACGAAGCCAGCCCCTCACCTCTCAAGGGAGTGACCAGGTCCCTGGGACTCACCTCTCTTTTGCCACCTTCTGTAGCTGCAGGAAGTCTTTCTTCAGGCTCTGCAGCTTCTCCTGCTGCTGGGAGGCACCAGGGGCGAAGCCACAAGAGCCCAGCTCCGCAGCCAGGTGCTCCAGGGTGGCCAGGTCCTCCTGGTGCTGCCTCATCTCTGAATTCAGTTCCTGCCAAGAGCAAAGGGTGATGCCAACCGTGTCCCTGCCAGCAGACTCGGGCAGAGGGGATGAACCAGACAGCCCCGTGTCCTGGCGAGGTGAAGAGACCCTCCGTGGGCAACACCATCAATTGCACCAGCACTGAATGGGCAGGCATGGCTCAGTCCCACCTGCTCCTCCAGCTCTGGCTCAGCAAATACTTTAAGCAGCTGCAGGAGCAAGTCCCACCTTCCCCAGTGCTGGTCTAAGGCCACGCAGTGAATGGGATGGAGAACCCTAGACCAAGCCAAATCAATCCCCCCACAGCACAAGTGTCTGGTTTTACGCCAGCTTAGAGCATTTCTGAGGCAGTGGCCAAACCACCCCTCGCAGCAGAGCACTCGTAGGAAGCCAGGAGGAATCCCGTGCAGCCGTGACTGGCCACCACAACCCACGGCATCTCAGAGGGCTTTGTCACATCCTGCACTGCGCTTACTGCCAGCACTCGGGTGTTCTGCTGTATTGACCCCATGGAGTCTTTAATTGGTAAAACCTTGCTATATTTGGACTGGCCCCTAAGAGCCTGGCTAGAGATCCCTTCCGAAAACCAGCCTGGCTCCAGGGAAATGCCATTCTTCTCTCACTGCCGGAAACAGCCTCAGCCACTCCAGCCATGCTCCCTTCCCCAGGCAAAGAGCCAGCACAGGTCCTGTGGATCCTGCCAGCCTGGGAGCAAACTGGGGGCTGTTTGCCTGGGAAGAAATCACTGCAAAACAGCCCTGCCCCAGAAACCCGACGCAGATGGAGTCTTCTCCCCCTGCATCTCACCTGGATGTGCTGAGAGAAGCGAGCGATGTCCCGATCCGGCTGGTTCCCGGATGCCAACATCCGTGCTCTGCTCTCCGTGAACTGCTGCAACTTCTCCGAGAGCTGCTCGTACTGCTCGACCTTTGGCAGGAGGCCCTTCAGCGCGTCCTCCCTCTCCCGCTGCTGCTGGCACAGCCTGCCGAAATGCTCCGTCACCTCTGCCAGCTTGCCCTGCAGGGCAGAGGCCGTGGGGCTGTCTGCCGCCTCCATGAACCGTGTCACCATCTCACGGGTGGCTTCCAGGCAGCTCTTCTGCCTGGCAATGTCCTGCTTCAGCTTCTGTAGCAAGCAAACACAGAAAGAGATGCCATTTTAGGAAGGCTCTTGAGCAAAACTGAATTGGCATGAACAGGCTGGGCCGTCCTTGGGGATAGCAGCACTCGCTTCGAGACAACCAGGGTTGGGCAAGAATAGTTTTCTATCACAGTTTTCCTTTCCTTTCTGATCTCCCCAACCTGCTCTGCCTTTCCCCAGTGATATCCCAGTCTTGTTAGCAAAGAAAGGAGACTTTCAACAGGTCTGTGTTGTGGCTTAAAGAAATTAAGTAAAGGTTCTGCTCATACCCCTTTTTAGGGTTTTTTTGTGTGCTTTCAGAATACTGTAGCTAACCCCCAGCAACTGCCTGCACAGCTCAGGTCCTGCAGACAGCCGTGTTTGAGGTGAGGGAGCTCAGGGACCAGCCTTACCGCACTCGTGGCAAGGGAGTCCTGGATGGAGGCGGAGGAGAGCGTGGCCGGCTGCTCTCTCTCCAGGTTCTTCTCGATCTCGGCCACCGACTGGAGGAGGCTCTCCAGGCTCTCCTGGACGCTCTGGGACTGAGCGATGGATTTCTGCAGCAGGTCCGAGCGCTCGCTCATCTGCTGGGAGAGGCTCTGGAAGCGGCTCACGATGGCATCTGCAGAGATCAGCGCAAAAGGAGAATCAGGGGCAAAGAGATTCTTGCCTGGTGCTCAGAGAGCAGCAAGGATCATCTTTGGCTCCTGTCAAACTCTCACTGACAATGAATCCCCATCCCCAAACTCAACAGCGGGACAGGGGACTCAACACAAACGGCCAACCTGGACGACAGCGCTCTCCATGTGCAAACACAAGCCCTGAAGACGCCTTGCTGTGCACCTTTGCCCCACCTTCCCCCAAAGCGGGTGACTTCACCTTTCCTCCCTCTCTGGTTCGTTTTCACACTCTCCCCAACCACCCCTGCTACTGCAGGCGGCTGCTTTGCTCCATACCTGTTGTTTCCTGAATGTGCCTGTGGTCTGGGGCTGGCTCCCCTTGTACCTCCAGCAGGGACCGAGCTGCTTTCTGGAGCTTCTCCACCGGCACCTGGTGCTCAGCGAGGTCTCCCTGCAGCTGCTGCTTTGACACGAGACAAGGCAAAATCAGTGGTGGGTCACACACAAGAGACCTGCGGGGAGCTCAGGGCTCCATGTAAACCTGAAGGATCCTGTTCACTTAATCACAAAATTGTTAATAATAATAATAAACTAGGTCAGAAGGTCCAACCCCACGCTGCAGGCAGAACTGGATCAGAGGGTCTGGGCTGCCCCAGCGCTCAGCCACCCTCATGGGTGAGGAATGTCACCCGCCATGTCCCACTGGGATGTTCCCTGTGGCAGTCCATGATTGCAGCTCCCGACCCTTACTCTGAGCACCTCTCAGAAGAGTCTGGTTCCACCTGATCTGCAGCGCCGGGACCTGCTGAGCCTGCAGGTGCATCTTTGCACTCAACCAACAAAAACCAGCGAACAGGTCGAGTCTCCTTCCTGCTGCTGGCTGCTCAGAGCAGCAGCCAAATTCCCGTACAGGCTCCAACGCTCCCCCAGGAGGTCACCCAAGGACCCCGTACCTTAGCACTGGCAAGTTGCTTTTGCAGAACAGCAGGATCTGAAGGAACCGTCTCCGAGAGCAGTTTCCCAACGGCAGCTTCGCTCTCCTGCAGCCACATCCTGAGAGACTCTGCCACCTCCTGGAACTGCTGGTAGTGATCCAGCAAGGTGTTCAGGTGGGAGCCAAGCTTGGTGCACTGCAAAGGAGCAACAAGACATAACGGGAGGATGCACACAAGCATAGAGCAACCTGAGCACTGTTGGAAAACGCATAGAAATCATCAAGAGAGAAAAATAAATTTAAAAAACCCATCTTGCCATACGTGTTAAAGGAATTACAGGAGGCAACATGCGGATCAGCACTAAGACAGTGGGTGTTACTCCTGCCCAAGCCCTGAAGAAGACAGTCCTTCTCCTACAATCCACATATGTGCTAGAATTCTAGCCAGACACTCAAGAGAAACGTCCCTCTGTCATCCCTGCTCGTTCTACAGGCACAGGAGGAAAACAGCACCCAGCGTTCAACTCCCAGCCTTGCAAAGCCCTTCCCGTACCTTGGAGTGTAGCGTGGTGTATCGCTGTGTCGCATCCTCCAGCTTGCTCTTGACCACGCTCCTGGACATCAGCATCTGGGACCCTGTGTCCCCAGCAGCTCCCTCCACATCCAGCACCTTCTGCCCCGACATGGTAACAAACCGCAGGTCGCCTTTGTGGGAGATCACGTCTTCCGAGAAGCTGCCCTGCCGCAGGAGCAGCTGCCGGAGGGCCGTGGGGTCACTTCCCCCCTTGTACATCCCCTCCAGATCCTGCTCCGCTTGCTTCAGCCAAGCCTCGAACTCCCCGTGATCCCGCAAGAACTTCTGCAGCTCATCCCGCAGGACTTGCACTTGCTTCAGCCGCGTTTCTGACTGCGAGAGGGAAGCTGCGTACTGGTCCTTCAGCTCTGCCAGCCGGCCCTGGAGCCGCTCCCGCTCCTCCCCAGCCAGGCTGTGGCCATGCTTGTCCAGGAAAGCCTGCGCCGACTGTGTGGCCAGGATAACGTCCTGCTGCTGGGACAGCAGCTCCTGGTGCTGGGCCTGAAAGATGTCAGCGAGCAAAGGTGATGCTTGTGACCGAGGGTCTCTGCGCACCAGCACCCGGCGGGTGCAGCAAGGCCATGTGTGTGACTGAGCCTCCACACCCTCCTACAGCACCAGCAAGGTGGGGGAACACCCCAAGGCTGGCACACAGGCAGGCACTCTGCCCACAGGGGAGTAACCCCCTCTCTGACCACGATGGGCACCTTCTCTCGTTACCCTGACTGGACTGTGCTGCAGCATCCACCCACCAACCCAGACAGCATGTCCTCCAGGCATGGTCTTCCCAAGTCTCCCATATGGAAAAGTCACCTTGAAGATGTGTTTTGGAGGCCAGACCCACCTAATGCCCCATCCAATGCCCCATCCTCCTCCCAGCCACATCAGCAGCCAGAGGCAGGGGCAATGTGTCGGGCCGAAAGCTTTGAGAGGGACAAGGTGTCAGTTCTGACCTTCAGCCTCTCGTACTGCTCATCCAGGCTCTCAGCAGCGCTGTCTGCTCCCACGATGTGGCCATCGGGGACATCCTGAGTGCCTGGCCCAACTCGTGCCCCTGGTGCTTGCTCAACGGGGTGCGGTCTGTACTCCAGGAGCCCTCCCTTCTGCTCCAGCGATGCCACCCAGTTCAAAAGGGAATCGATCTTATTGCTGTTCTCCTCCAGCTCTTTGGCAGCTTTCACCTGAAAGCACAAAGGCTCCAGATTAAATGACACGTTTTATGCATGTTCAGCAAACTGCTGCATGGGGGAGGGGGACAAAAATCAACAGAAGGAAAAAACCCCAAACAGTTTTCCAGCCACAGCAAATGCCTGAGACACTCACAGACCTCCAAAACACTTCGTGGCTCTCCGGAAGGGGGGGAAGGTGCAAAGAAGCTGTGAATAAACTCAGCCTCTCTGCTACGTTGCATTGCTCGCCCTGACAGAAGCCAGGGTGCACACCCTGCAGGTCTGCGACTCCACGCACGCACGTGTGAGCATCGCTTTCATCCCCAGCACATGGAGCTGCCCGGCACTCAAGCTCCCATTAACGGTCAGCCCAAGGCAGAGCAAGGTGTCTTTTACTCCCCAGTTTTCTCCACAACCAGCTCATCTGTTGCTGCAACTCTTGAGGCATTTCACAGGGTGGCACAGCATCAGTGCCCCACCTCGCCCAGGGGACAGAGTGGAACAGCAAATTTCTTTACATCTCATCACTCAGACGAATACCAGGACCCCAAACAAATCTGTGCCGACTGGACCTCACTGTCCACCTCAAGCAGAGCCTGGAGGCTACAGCTCTTTGCATGTTACCTTTTCAGTCTCCTGCTGCACTGCAGCAGTCACAGCGCTCTCCAGCTCCTTCTGGGCCATCTCTGTCCTCTCCTGCAGGGACCGGTACTGCTCCTTGGCAAGTTGAAGCTTCTCTTGCAGTGCTGCCAGCTCCCCAGGGTCCATCTTGGCCTTGTTCTCCTCCAAAAACTCCTCTGTGCTTTTCAGGACGCTGGCAAAGGAGGCGGCTCGGGTGTGCATGTTCCTCTGCAGCTCCTAAGCAGATGATGCCGTAAGGCTCCGTGCGCTCCCGGGGCAGCGCCGAGCCTCTCCGCCTTCCAACCCCGGCTTTTTAAAGCACTGACCTTAACATCGCTTTGCCTCTGCTGCAAGGCAGACAGGTCCCCTTCGCTGGTGGCTCTCTGCTGCTCTGCCAGCGTGTCCTCTGCCTGGCACAGCCAGCGGCTCAGCTCGGCCAGGCTCTGCGCCCGGGCTGCCTGCTGCTCCTGCAGCGTCTGCGGGCAGAGGGAAGGGGAGAGGGGACAGTTAGTATTGGCGCTGCAGCTCCGGTCACGCACGTCACTGAAAAGCAAGGCGAGAGGTTACGGCTGGAGCACCTCCTGAAGGTGAGGATGCAGCCCAGAAAATGGCTTTTGCAGCTCTCCACGTGCTCCCTCTCCCTCTCAGGCTCACACGCTGCGGGAATGGGGCTGAGGTGCCGAGGCCCTGCCAAGCAGGAGCTGCTCACTGCACGTTTGCTACCATTCAAGCAGGTTTCTCTCAATCTGCTTTTTGAGAAGCCTGTTCAGCTCCACGTGGAGCTACACTCCAGGTCACGCACTCCTCTCTCAGGAGAGCTCAACTAGAAGTTTCTGCGCCTTTGCCGTTCAGCCTTACAAACATTAAAACTGCAGCAGAAACTCATCTAACGAGAGGTAACAACCACGTGAGGTCAGGCAGCACCACTGTGGAGCACCAAACAACCTAAGTAGGCTGTTTTTTTGATCCTGGGGTTGGAGAGGGAGCCCAGGAGAGAGAAAGCGTTTCTGTAGCTGATCCAGCTCCTCTGTTTTGCTGCGAGAGCACAATACAGAAGCGCCTGTTTGAGTAATTGAGCATGATGTGACCTGAGATTCCCTGCAACATTTCTGTTCCCCTTTCCCAGGGGAGACAAAAGGTTTTTGAGTTTCACTGGGCATTTCAGCAAGGTGATGAACAAACTTGTGCAAAACACTGTGCTTGTTTCTCCCAATCATAAGATAAACAACAGAAGCAAATTGAAAGAGCCTTCCTAAGAGCTCTTCAGCTGCAAAGCGAGTTCTTCCTGGGTTAGGATGGGCGCACACTCAATCTGAAAAAGCAAAGCAAACTGGTTAATATACACACACACTCCAGAGAGGACAGGCGAGAGTTACAGAGAGCAATTGTTAATAAAAACCACATTAATCCTGTCTTGAATAAGAGGATCCATGCAGCGATGGGTGCTGCAGCAATGCAGCAGAGACCTGAGGACTTGCTTTTGCAGCTGGCTGCTGCCTTGATACATCATCAGCTGTTTCTCTGGGACAGGGATAACTGACTTGTGCAGTGAAACAAGACATTAAAACCGCCAGGTGCCTGTGGTGGCCCCTTTGCACAGGGATTTTCTGGTGGGGTTACAGAGACCAGGGTTCACTCCACCCAACACAAAGCAACTCGATGTCTAGCAGAGGACTGCCTGGCTGTGCTAGCCAGGCCTCGGCAGGGCTCCATCTTTTGGGAGGAAAGTGACTTTCCACCTGGGAGTTACGTGGTAGGAAGAAGAAAGACTTTAGAGGAAGCTCATGATGTGCAATGAGAAGTCATAAACTGTGAGTGGCATGCACATGAAATCCCAAATATGAGGTGTCTCAGCGCACGTTCTTGTGGCCGGAAAGCGCTTCAGCGAGCAAACTGCAGCCAGGAAGCAGATGTCTCACAACCTTCACCTGATCTGTCTGCTCCGCTTGCTGGAGACAGACCTGCAGGACCTCCACCCGAGCTGTCACACGCTCCGACAGGTCCCAGAAAGCCTTCTGTAGCTCATTGAGCAGCCTCAGCAGCTGCCTACTCTGCTGAGGGGTTAAGTCCTGGGCATGCTCTGAGATAAGGAACTGGATGTCGAAGGCAGTGGCATCAAGCTGAGACTTAGTGTCAGCGAGGGGCTCTTTCAGCTCCTGAATGAGAGAAAAAAAGACCTGTCAAGCAAAATGACTCTGCAGCCAGTGTTTCCCTGCACTGCCAGCTTCAGACGGACAAGCAGCAGTGTGCACCCAAAAAAAAGTGCTTTGTCACCAGAACAGTAATATTCCAGAAATCCCAAATGCTCCCCAAAGCACACTCAGCATCAAGGTGACAGCATCTCACCACAGCAATTTTCCAATGCTCCTCTGCACCAGGCCTCCAGCACCTTGCCAAGAGGTTGCTTGGACCGTGCGTGTAGGGCTGCCCTTGGGTCTGAAAGTGACCCAGACCCAGAGCTGCCAGCAGCTCAGTCCAGTTCATGGTGACTCCATGTGCCACCAGCGGCTCTCAAAGCCTTTGATTCCCTGACTTCAATGCCAAGGTGCTACCAGCAAACAGGAGATGCTGAACTGACCAAATCTTGAAAGCTATCACCAGAAGATGAGTAAATGTGAAGGGGGAATTAATGGAGACCAGGGCAGGTGTGATGGAGGGGGCTGTCAGCGCCTCCACGGAGGAAGCAGCTCTCTCCTCAACATCGCAGAGCCTGCTGGGAATCCCTCCCGGTCGCTCAGCCCCCACCACACACCTACATTTGAGCATATTCCCCAAATGGCCAAAGCAGATGGTTCGTGTATGGTGGAAACAAATAACTTCGGAGCAAATACAGTATCGTTGCTCCCCCTGCAACAAAGGATAAAGGCAAACCCACCAAGGCTCCGTGAGGGAAGCGGGATTAAAAGCTTCTCCTCCGCACAGAGGACAGCAACTTCATCAGCCAGAAGGATTAGGGGCATTTCCATGGTTACCTTGTAGTGTTGCAGGCAGAGACTCAAGCTGTTCGCATCAGTCGCGTGGTGGTAATCACTGCTGTCCAGCGACTCTGCGGTGCCAGAGACCCAGCTCAGCAGCTCCTGGAGTTTGCCCTGGAGAGTCTCGTGATGTGTCAGGATTTTAGCCTTAAAAACCAGAAATGCATCATTTAAAGAAGGAGCAAAGTGCTCCGGGGAAGGAGCGTTGGGAAGCTCAGGGGCAGCAGGCAGCGGGGACAGTTGTCAGCTCTACCTTTTCAGTTTCTGCCGCCCCGCGAAGGTTTTGCAGCCGGGACTCCAGGACATCACTTGCAGAGCTCAGAGACTTCTGGAGGTTCTTGGCATCCTTCTCCAAAGCCTTCAGTAATTGCTCAGGGACTTCTTCAGGGGGGTTGGCCACAATCCACTTCACAGCATCCAACTCCTGATTCACTGGGAAGCTCAGCTCCTGCAGCTCAGCGCCCAGGGCCTGAGGCAAGACAGCATCGTTATGTCTAAGATATGGTGACTTCATCTTCCCACTGCCTACACTGAGGCAAGGTTTTGGCGATGCAGCGCCAAACACTGTGTCTATCTGCTAGAAAGATTCATCATCATCCTCCAGCCCCGCTCAGCTGCCAGCACTCGCCTGTCTGTCTCCAGGCTGTAAAATTCATTTCAGCCAAGGTTAGCTTATTGTCTAAGCAGGGAGAAGGCGGCGAGCCAGAGGCAGCACCAGAGCAAGGAGGGATCAGGTTTGCATATAAATGCCTGTTAAACCTGAGACTAACCTCCCAGGTTGGCTCCTAGAAGCAGGGAGGAGGTACAAGGGCTGTGCATGGGGCTGGGGAGAGGAGGGAATGAGTTCTGTCCTGCCTGATGCCAGCCAAGCCTGGCCCAGCCTCGCTCACCTCCGCCTGCTGCAGCAGGTTGTGCAGGGCCGCCAAATTCTGCTCCGCCGGCTGCACCCGTTTGATTCTCATCTCGATATCTCGGAGCATGGAGAGATATGATATCAGCTTCTCATCGTGCTCCAGACACATCTTCTTGCTGAACATGATCTACAGAGTCAAACAGTAAAACAAACCCTCAGATTTAGACAGAAAAGAAAGCAAAGGATTATATATTATTCTTTTTTCAAATAAAAAAAATCTGTTAATAACATTCCATTTCAGGGACTTTCCACTCGCTAGCCTTATCTACAAGATTTACTACAGGAAAAATAAAACACGGCTCTTTTTCCAACATAAGCTTATAAATGGCAAGAGATCTCTGGTGTTGCAGTAAAAGTGCCAAAAAAGAGTCCTACTTATTAGTCATTTATAAGTAATGCTCTAGCAAAAAAAAAAAAGCCACAACTAAGCCTTGAGTGTTTTCAGTCATACATCACCGGGTCCTTTGCCAAATCCATTGCAGCTGATGCTGCAACATCAAGCTCAAACATCCACTCCTCTTGTTCTGGCTGTCCTCTGTGCTGAGGACCTCAGACAGATTTAACATCAAACCTACACAAATAGCTCATTAAAAAAAAATGTTGAAATAGCAAAAAGCATCAATTTACCTGGGCTGGTCTTGTGGATTCCCTCGAGGTTTCCAGCAGCTCCCCCTCCACTATCACAGGTAAGAGCAAGCCGCGATCACCAGGACCCGGCTGCCTGGTCCTCTCCTGGGGTGCTTCTCCTTGGGATTTTGGGGGAGCAGGGCCACCTCCTTGGCCTGTGCTGATCGCTGCTGTTTGCTCTTGCTGAGTCTCTTCTCCAAGCCCAAGGATTGCAGAGGTTTCCTGAACTTCTCTGGGTTCCTCTGTGATAATTAATTCATTGGGCAGTTTGTCTGCTGCAGGGGCTGCGATGGACACATCACTGGTGGTTTCGACCTTGGTGTCCTCCTGGGTCATCCTCTCCTCCAGGCTAAATGCCACCGAGGAATCGTGACCATTTCTGATCCCACCTTTCACCACCTCTCGAGCTTCCCCTTGTCCTGGGGGAACAGGGATCACCTGACCCTCTCTGAGGTTTTCTTTATCTTTCTCAGAAGTTGTTTTCTTTTCTTTTTCATCCCTGCTGCTCCCCCTGTGCTTGGCTGCATCTCTTGCCAACCCAGCAGTAATCTTGGTGGCAGTTTCATGTTTTGGTTCTGGTGTGCTTGAGACAAAGTCCTCCTCCTCCTCCTTCCCTGGAATTTTTTTGGAAATTGGAAAAGGAAGGGACTGCTTTTCTGCAGATTTCTCCCCCTGAGCGCTGACTCGTGGGATACTGGTCTGCTTTGCTTTCTTTTTCTTGCTTTTCTGTTTTCGGGTAGGTTTTAGCTCAGTTTCACTTGTTTTTTCCTGATCAGCGGCACCTTCTGCACCCAGTCTCAGGGTTTCTCCTTCAGTCTGTTCGACAGTTCTTTCACCTGCAAGCTCATCTCCTGCAGGCTTCATAGGGACGCCAATCTCAGGGGGTTCTCCAGACTCTGTAGGACCCACCTCTCCCTTCCCTCGACTCCCAGTAACAGATTCCCTTGGGGCTGCTGGTGTT